TTTTTTTGAGGTTAATTAGAAAAAAATTTTGATAAGTAAAAAATAATAACCGCCATTACTTTTGGCTAGGACTGTATCAAAGTGGCCTGTAATTTCAAAAGATGTATCTACTTCCACTATATTTGTATAAGCACACAGTCAAGTTTGCTCCAGGCATCATTAATATTGGAAAAGTATTTTGTCTTTGCTTCCCATCCATATCCCCATAATATGCACAGGCACTAACAGGTGAATTATCAGGTTTAGATAACTTAGATGCTTTTTCTACTAACACTCTAGCCATAACTACTCCAGTAAATACAAATGCCACACATTTTCCTTGCCTCAAAAGGTCATATCCTATTCTTATAGCTTCAGCTCCACTATTCAAATCATAAAGAATTTTAACCATCTCATCCACACAAGGCTGGTATCTATTATAAAGATAGGTACCATAATTAAGAAGTTACAACTCAGTAAGTTGCAACTTGAGTTGCAACTTGATTGCAACTCCTTGTAAATTTATTTTAATATAAAAATTCATAAAATGTTGGTTAAAAATTTTAAAAATAATTATGGCAACCATCTTTAATCTATTATCAATTATATGAATATCTTCACCACAATATGCTTTAAGAAATGCTAATGTTGACTTATTTGCAAAAGTATCCATGGCCAAAATATGTTTCGCTGATATTAAGATATCACGCATTGTATTTTTAGACTCTCATGCATTTGTACTGCTAGACATTTGTCGCATAATGGCATTGATTTTATCGAGAATAGCCACAAACGAATGAGCTGTGAATTTGATACGAAAAAGACTTTCAACTTATACTATAATAATATTTCACTCATTTATAGATAAGTCTTCTAGCTTATTTTAGTAGTTGCTAAAGATGGGAACTGTAATTAATATGTTGCAACTTTTAATGTTGCAACTTATGTTGCAATTAGTTTTAACCTATATATGTTGCAACTTATAATGTTGCAACATACGTTGCAACTAATTTTGGCTTATGTTGCAACATTTTGTAAATTTGAAATCAATTGCTGTACCATCTTTAGTAGTTGCAAATTCAGAAGTTAAATGCTTTTAACTCATCAAGTTTTGCTTTTGACTTGTTACTAAGAGATTTTTGGTAAGAGATCCAGATATAACATGACATAGAAGAGATATCATGCATCTTACTCTTTAATGCCATAATGATTTCTCTTAATGTAGTGGTTTTTCATGTTGCTGATGATGAGTGAATTAATGTAGTTATTCTTTTAGTACTTAAGAAATCAGGATATGATTCAGGAGCATCTTTTAGCTTTTTAACATTAATAACTTTCCTCGGCAACTCTACAAGAGAATGCAGTTTTGCTATGGCATTAGCTATTCTTTCAGCTATTCTTCGCTTAGGTATTATCAGAATTTTAGTTGCTTCTTCAAATACCAAACCTATATGGTCTGGCTTATATTATTTTTGCCAATAGCATCTGAGTATAAAGCATTCATCTTTTCAAAGAAAGCCATACAACTGATTCCTTTCATGTTTGATATTGCAAATAGGGCATTTTATAAATAATTTGGCATAAAAAGTAATAAACCCTTTTTCAGCTTTTCCAATTTCAAGCTATTCATATTTTGCCATTACTAAACCAGCTCCATTGCTTAAAGCGATTTCATCTTCAATAGGTTTGAACTCCTCTTTTTCTGACTTCTCAGAAGAAAAGGTTCGTGGCCAAATTTCTAAATAATTTGGTTTAAGTTGAACTAAATAATCCTCTAATTTGCACATTCTGTTCTTGACCGAAGAAATCGCAGGTCTTTTGATTCTATCTTCCTTTGCTGATCCAAGAAGTTGAAGACTAAAATGTGATTTGTAAAGCGTGAGATCGATAAATTTAGAATATGGTTTTCCAACCCTATCAGCGACTTTTTTCACAAAACCCCTAAGATCTCTATAATCAATAAAACAAGCTGAAAGATATACGATATGCCAACTGTATTTATCAGTACTAAATGAACTAGCTAAAGCAAAATCATTTAAAGTTATAAGATGTTTTAAATCAGAGTATAAGATATCAACGCAAGCAATTAAGATTTTGGATAATAAATCATCACAAGAAATTTTATATCCATCTAAGGAAGGAAGTTCAGAATTCGTGAAATCAGGCTTCTGCCTCGCATTAATATCCAGAACCAGGCAAAGAGGTAGATTCCCATCAATGCATTCATGAGTATCAGGAATCCCATAAATTTCAGATGGATAATCAATAATTGTAAAGCCCTTTTCCGCTACCCGAATGATATATTTATCAAAAATTTCTTCAGGATGATAAGCACTTAAAAGAGTGATACCATCTTTACTATTAGTTTCCAATAAATGTTGAAAATACGTGTGATCAATATAGCTCAGCTCAGAATCAAGGTCTGTTACACCTGAAAAAAACCTTATTACTTCATTTATTTTTATGGGTTGGATTTGAATTTTTTTTGCGCAAGTAGCATGATAGGTATATGGAGGAAGTTAATATAAAATTATATAGAAAATACCAAATCTTCAAAATTACTATTTTAAGTGAATATGATTGTTAGCAAAACACTGGGTTAGTAGTAGTACCCAAAAATAATCGATACAATAATAACCCAAAGTAATCAGGTATAGGGATACCAAAAATAGCAACTACACGAAAAATAATTCTAGGAAAGCTTGGGCGAAAACTAGGGTATAAATTTGGTAGCATCTAAAGGTAGAATTATATATATGAAAGAAAATAAGAAATTCTGCTTTTGGGTGCTACCGACGATAGGCAGGAAAGAGGTCGAAAAGGTAAAAAGTCTCAGAAGAATACACAAAAAAAGGTATAAAAGATGTAAATTCTGAACCAATTCGGCACTTCGTATCTTATCCTCAGCTATCAAACAGGTTATAAAAGGTGGGATTGCAAGAATGGTATAATACTAACACTTCGCATATGCCTTATCGGCAATCAAAAAGTGGGTGAATAGATTGCAACACATCTTTTGCAAATAGATGGATTGCAAATTTAGCACTTCATGCCTTATCCAGCAATCAAAAAATGGCAATTGAGAGGGAAGCAACTATAAAAGATATTCCGATATCAGAACAGTATTACATGACTATAATGCAGTAAGACGTAGTATTAACTCGCTTATTTTCAGCCAATACTATTTCATAAATTTGGTCAGAAGTTTGAATATAATAATTCAGCATCCAAGCTAGCTTCTCTGGCATCCTACCAGTTCTATGACAGTTCCAGAAGAGTTCCATAATACTACCAGAATGCTATCACAATGCTATTATAACACCAAATTGGATCCTCAAATCACATGCCCAAAAGATCAGTCAGAGTTATACCATAGAGCTGACAAAAATTAATTGCAAATATACTGCGTCACCTGTCACCTCTTTTTTTATCACTTCAAGTATTTTAAAAGGCAACTAAATAGACATGCATCTCATTCATATTACTGACCAATAAGTCACAGAGAGAGAAAGCAGACCTATCTTTAGAACATATTAATTAATAGATTATAACGTCTTAGAACGTATTAATTAATAGATTATAACATCTTAGAACATATTGATTAATAGATTATAATGTCTTAGGATATATTGATTAATAGACTATAACATCCTAGAACATATTAATCTAGGACAAATCGCTGTTTGCCTTTTAAATGATCTACATCATACTTTATAAAAAATTTACAGTAAATAAGGAAATAATACATTTTTTATAAGATTTGTATATGTATTTAATGATTCTGTATCAAAATTCCATATGTTTTATAATGATTTATTTTTTTATAATTTTTTAAAAAACTAATGTATATAGAATTATTAAGAAATTTAAAATAACATATAAATTTTATATAAAATAAAAAATAACAAAAATAATATTATGAGAAAAAATCTTTGATAAACAGATTATGTAAACCAAAATTTTTTCTTGTACTTTGAATGTGCAGATACTAAATTGAGCTTGAATATTATAATTCTAAAGATTTATTACATTAATTTTTTCTAATAGATTTATTTTGGTCATGTTTATTGATCGATAAACAAGATTTCTTTATAGAAACTTTAAAAATTCTAATGATATCAATTCAATATCACAATAATATTATCAATTCAATATAGTTATATAGTTATAATATGAATAATGATATTATATTGAGATCAATGCTATATATTAATAATAGATCTACAAAAATATCCAATCCTTATTATAATGATAAAGGATTCAATATTGAATTCTTATCATAATTATATGGATTTTACATCAAATCTATAT